GAAGAGCTTGCTCAGAGTGCAATCTCTGCATCGGCCACCAGGTGATGTTATGATCTCAAGCTACCTACTCTCAGCCTAAGGCAATCGCACACAAGTGAAGGCAGGAACTTGTCCAGCAAAATCCTGAGTCCTGGGTTTATTCCACTGGGCCAGTGGGACCAGCCTGAGATCCCCACAATCCTATTTTCCTAGTACCTGCCCAAGTTCTATCTCATTTAGCCTACGTTTAAAATGTAAAGATTATTATGTAGTATTTGATAACTTAAATGGCTTACCCACACATTGCAGTTAAGGAGTCTTATCTGCTTCCCAAAACTTGACATGACTCCCCCAAATGCACATTTGCATTATAGACTAGAGTATATTTTACTAAAAGAAATTGTAAATTTTTTAAAAGATGCAATACTAAAACTCCCCCGAAGTCTGAAGTCTCAGCTTCACTTTTGCCAATGGAACAGCTGTAGGCAGAGGCTATTGTTTGAGTGGGTCTATCAGGCAGTCTTCCTCCCCCTATGCCATTTACAAAAAGGAACCCTGTAAGCAGCAGCTCAAATGTGCCTCCTTTAGATATAGTAGTCCTTTCTATGTGATTACCAGAAAATGTCTTAGCCTAATGGTCATCAAAGGTTCTCTTTCTCCTGAGGTCTCCAACATCAAAACAAGCTGCCTCTGTGAGCCCTGATGTCCACATAAATCCATAGGGGCAATCTCTCTGTTTATGCTGCATCTTGAGCCAGCTTCCTGTCTGTCCTCATCTGGACCTCTTCTGGTATGCTTGCTAGGGGCAGCTCTGGACCCTCCTGCAGTTCAAAAAACATCATTTCCAACCCATGGTGACCCACAAGTAGAAAGTTTAGCATTCATGATACATTTTTTTCTAGTATGCCTGGCATTTTTACCAAAGGGCAATCAACTATCCTTGCTTTAAATTTACCAGTTGCAGACAATAAAACAATGTTTTGGCAGCTCTCCCTCGGGCTACACAAGCCACAAGTATTTTAAGTCTCAAGAGCATTCTCAGAATGGGAATAATACAGGGAAATACAAAAGAAAAGACAAGGCTGACCTAGGGCTGTTATAGTTTTTATGAATGGAGAAGTTAGTGAACTTCTAGAAAAGGAAACAGTGATCACAAAGAGCCAACATGGCCTTTTTCGACAGGCTATCAAACTGGTACATGAGGGGAATGTTGCAGGTGTAATTTGCCTAGATTTTAGTAAAGAATTTGATGAAGTCTTTCATTTATTGTGGGAAAGGTGGATAGGTATGTCTGAAGTAGATAATAGTAAAATTATGTAGATGTGGTACTGATAGACCAAACCTGAAGGGTGGTCATTAATGGTTCATTTTCATCTTGTTAGAAAGGCTCTGTTGGATTGCCTCAGGTATCTGTGTTTGGCCCCTGTGCTATTTAATATTTTTATCAATGACTTAGTATAGGCATTATCAGATTTGCCGATGGCACAAAACTGGAAGAGATAGCCAGCATACTGAATCATTGAGTTAGGATTCAAAAAATTGATGTAATGTAAAGTCTTACACTTGGGTTAAAAAAATCGTTTTTATCTTTTACAAGATAGGAGAAGCATGGTTAGATTGTAGTTTCTCTGAAAAAGATCTGGGGGTTTTAGTGAACTGCAAGTATGATACGGCAGCCAAAAAAGCCAATGTGATCTTAGGCTATTGGAGAGTGTCTAGCACAGGAATCATAATGGTGAAGGGACTTAAGTTCATTCGATATGAGGACAGGCTGCAGGAACTGGGGATATTTAGCCTGTAGAAGAAAAGAATTCAAGGGGAGAGGGAGAACATAATAGCTGTTTTCCAATATTTGAAGGGTTATCACATGGAAGAGGACTTGTTTGGCTCAGCCTCAGAGAATAAAAGATCAGTGAGTAGAATTTACAAAGAGATAAATTTAAATTTGATGTGAATATAAGGGAGGTGATCTTTCATAGAACTAGTCACAGAAAAGGGGCTAGATAACAAGGTGTTAAACTAACTATAAGAATGCTGCCATTGCCAGCTGATCCCTTTATGAGGTACAAATTAGTCCCTTGAGTGAATCATAAAGGGAGCAAAAATGATAAGATAAATAATGAGAGGTCACATGTACAAGATGACCCTTGAAAGTCATTTGGTGAATCCAGGGGAGAGAACTAAAGAAAAGTAAGCCAGGTCTTGATGAAATGTGAAATGCATAGAAGATGTGCAGAGGTACAGAAGGGGAGGCCATGAGAAGCTTCTTGGAGATGGGAAAATAGAAGCAGAAGCAGAAACAGCCACTACAAAAACAGGGGCCAGGATTCTCAGATTGAGGCTGTTTTAAGTCAATCAGGCACAAGGAGTGTTTGGACAGATGTAGCAATGTTACTGAAACCATGCCTGGACTTCGGACCTCATGGTGGTAATCCTGAATCTCCTTTTTCCCCTTGGGCTGTCTCGTGGAAGGCTGAAATCTTTCCTACTGGGCATAGAGAAAGTCTGCTTACCTTTCTTTGTTTTAGACATTTACTTTGATTCTATAAAGAACTTTAACTATGGGTCTTTGCTAGTCTGAGTGTACTTGTTTGAAATGCAGTTGGGATGAGATAATTGAAGAGGGAACATATTCAAAGGAGAAAGAGATCTAATACCAAGATATTTTGCCAGAGTACTCTCTCTGGATGGGGACTTGGAGCTGGAAAAAAAAGAAAGAAAAGATTTACAGATCCTTTGATATGAGTTAAAGCAGAAAAGGAGGGAAACCCAGCTAAGCAATGACTCAATTGTGGGGTGTTAGGATAGGAGTGATTAAATAATCTTGCTCTCATTGCCTACTCCCCCGCTACTGCTACAAGGTGGGGTATTATCTGGAGATATTTTTTCCTATTTTTATTTTTCTTTGCTTGAAAAATGTAAACACTGCTTTAATTCTTCCTTCCTGCTTAAGCAGAATTTCCCAGCATTATTGCTACATTGGTATTTTATTTTCTTCTCTCTCATGTATAGCTGCCTCCATTATACCTACTCTGTATTACTGTATTAAATTTACATATGAAAGGCTGCATTTAACATCACTAAGAGTTATTTTGTTACTTATCAGTGTGCAAATAGAATGCTATTACTGTTATTAAACATCATTTGCTTAGAGTACCACGTTACAGTATGGTTGTGGTATAAGCCTATGTGGATAGCTCATTTTTACAGTGCTGGCAGTCAAGTATTGTCATTATGGATAAATACTTTTCAAATTATATTAAAAAGGTATTGTTGTTTAATGGACATTAATATCTATGTGGGACAACTGATATTTGCAACAGACTCTTTATGAAGCTGAGAACATTACAAAAATATTGAAGGATACAGTAAAAGAATCAGGGATTCTAATTCTAATTCTAGTTTCTAGTGCAAAATGACCATGAGAATCCACTAAGGATATGTTTTGTGAATTGCTAGATCCATTCAACCAACCACTCAAATTTGTGACAAAATCCATGTAAGGAACACCCTCTAGCAGCCTACTTAGAAACTGGCTTGCAGTATTCTGTCTAAAGTGGGAAAGTTCTGTCTTATTTTTTAAATTCAACATTAATGAGTAAAGAGGGAGACAACACAGAAGTTGCAGTACAGATACAAATCTTTCCTATAGGCCCTATCTAGAGAAGAAACTGAGGTGAGATTTTTTACTCTCAGAGGTGGACATCTCACCTGCAGGTCAAGCTGGTTCCATATTCTCCATGGCAGAAATTTAAAGCTCTGTCTATTCATAGAGAGTTCCCCTAAGCCAGGGGTGGGAAACCTGCTAACTGGAGGCCACATGTGGCCCTCTAGGTCCTTGGGTGAGGCCTTTTGACTGAGTTCAAATTTTACAGAACAAATCCTTTTATTAAGGGGATTCTTAATAAAAAAGATTTGTTCTCTATGTGATAAAGTTCAATCTAGTATTCAAAGCCCTACCCTGTCATTCCAGCCCTGCTATTCCCCAACACAAATTCTGCTCCAGGTAAACTAGTCTATTCACTGGCAATTCACTTCAACAACAACGAAAATCAATTTAGCACCCATGATGTGCAGACGTTATGGGAATAGTGGAACATGCACCTTGTATTTTGGGCCCAATGGACAAAGTGCCAGCTTTGGAGTAGAGGACCTAAGCTCGAACTATGGCCATCTGAGCTCTCTCTGTGTGGCCTCAAGCAGGTCACTTACCCTCTCCATTGTAAAATGAGGGACTTAGACTTGATGACCTCAGAGTTTTCTTCTGTCTCTAAATCCATGATCTATCATCCTTTGTGAAGGACTGCAGGAGACAAAAAGATAAATTAAGCACTTCCAGACCTTAGAGAGTTTACAGTCTAGCACTTGAACAACTCATGGATAATTCAGACAAGAATGTGATCAATGCATATGAGAAATACAAAGTGTTACCTTGGCTTATGGCATTCCTCTTCTCTAAAAGGTCTTCTCCTTTCCTTTCTAAAAGCTACCCAACTCAAAGCTATGACAAAGCATGCCTCAGGGCTCTCTCTCAACTCCTGGATGCTTCTATAATTTCTTCCTGACCTCCTCATTGAGCGTGCTAAGTTGCTGCTTTGTCAGTTACAACCTCATGTGTCCTGTTGTACTGCAGTTCTAAAAGGATGGGGCCATATTGTACGTACCCTTTTTAGTGCCTGGAGCAGTACTTTCTGCAGAAGAAGTGCTTAATATATCTCTGGGTTCTTGATTGAATGAAACTCTTCCTAAGTTCTTGGCTTTAAAGACTGGAGACTATGGAATTTTTTTGATCCTCGAAAGAGAACTAACTACAAATTTTTTCCTTATTGTCATAGGGCTTCAGATGCTTAGAGGTTTAGGCAAGGTCCTGAAAAAAAATCACAAGTAAGCCTTTGAGTTACTTTGAGGGACATTTCCTCCTCAGGCAGGACTGATAGAGCAGACTAATATTTTACTCTAGTGGCTTACCCTCAATATTAGAGACCGTCTTGAGAATCTCTCTCTCTCTTCTTTCTTTTCAGGAGATGACAATAAATGAGCAGTCTGAGAATGAGCTATGGAATAAGAAGCTGATTTTTCCAAACTTAAGGTCAGTAACATAGGGGGAAACAGCTTCGTGGTCAGAAATTCTGATTCCTTAAACCATCCTGGCTACAGATGAGGACAAGCAGGGCCCTTTCCTTCTTCACCATTAGGATTTTCTAACAAATTCGTAGACTGCTGCAGGAAATTTGCAGGGTCTTGACAAATAGTAGAAGAAAATCAACACATACTATTCCAAGTTGAGTTTCACTTGATTTTGTTTATACCTGATAACTCTGAAGAACTCCATGTAATCTCATAAATTTTGGAAAAGTATGATTTTTCAAAATTCCCTTTAAAAAAAGAACCTCCTCCCAAATACTTATACAGAAGGAAAATGATTATATCTCTCCGAATCCTCACACACTCCTTCTCTCAGTTTTTCAATAACAGGTTTGGCAAAGTCAAACGAAAATCTTAAAGTGACTGAAGAACAGAAGTCTGAAGAACTATTTGGAAGCCCCAAGTCTTCTCTGTCTTTCTCACATTTTCAACTTCCTGAAGTGGGCAACTTAAATATGGCTTCTCTAGTATGCCAACCTAGCAGCCATAACCAAGACCAGAGTCAGGATGGACCTAATGACATCAAACAAGGGCACCAAGAAAAACTCTAGGCAGAAACCTGGATGAAGAAGAGAAGGAAGAGAAAAATAGGCACCTCAAGACACCAACCAGAATTTCTAGACATTGCTGATAAAGTCATTAAACCATTTAGAGAAACTGCAGTATGTTTTTGCTGTTCCTGTTTGTTTGTTTGTTTTACACAAAATCTCATAGTCTAAAGGAACCTTGGAGGTAATATAGTCCCATATGTACCTGAACAAGAATCTCTTATACAGTTTCCCAAGAAGAGGTTCACCTGAAGGCTGTCAGGGATGGGGACCTCAGTATCTACCTGGATAGCCCATTCCACTTTTAAATCATTATTATTAGGAAGTTTTTCCTGATGTCCACAAAAAAAAAAATCTTCTTCCTACTGCCTTCTAGGGTCACAATATAGTGGAAAGAGCACTGGAAAGGCCTGAGTCTAAGTCTTCACTAGGATACTTACTAGCTGTATGACCAGAGACAAATCACCCAATCTCTTCCTTAAAACTATGTCATTACTCCTCAGAATCTTTGGAAAGTCTCCTCTGTCTGAGAATTGGTCCTCATCTGTAAAATTGGAATAATGCCTGTACTACCAAGCATCACTGTAAAGAAAGCACTTTGGAAATCTTCAGATGCTTGTGTATGTGAGTTATTATCATCATTTCATAAAGCAAACTCTTAAATACTTTAAGTCAGCTATCGTATCTCCTACCCAAGTCTATCTTCTCCAAAGTAAATATATCCAGCTCCTTTAATCAATCCTCCTATAGCATGACCTTCAATCCTCTCAAGGTCCTGATCATCCTCTGAACGTGCCCCAGCTTGTCAATGTGCTTCCTAAAATGTGATATCCATTGCTAAATACACTGTCACCAATACAGAGGACAGGGAAATTATTCTAGAGAGTAGACAGTGAATTACTCTTTTTTTTCCTCATTTTACATTTATTGTACTGTGCATTTTACTGTCATTTATTTTTTTATTTTTAATTTTTTTTATTAATTTATTTTGATTTATCAACAATCACTTCCATATGCTTTTGAGTTTAAAATTTTTCTCCCTCTTCCTCCCCATCACTCTCCCCAAGATGGTGCACAATCTGATATAGGCTATACATATACATTCCTGTCAAACATTTTCACATTAGTGATGTTGTAAGTAAAAATTAGAACCAAAAGCAGGAACCATCAGAAAGAGGAAACAAAACTCAACAGAAGAGAAAAAAAAGTAGCAATTCAACTTCCGTAGTTCTTTCTTTGGATGTGGATAGCATTTTCCATCACGAGGCCTTTGGAGATGTCTTAGATCCTTGTATTGCTGGGAAGGGTTAACTTTATCAATATTAGTCATTGTACAACATGGCTGTTATTGTGCACATTGTTCTCTTGGTTCTGCTCACTTCACTCAGCATCAGACCATACAAGTCTTTCCAAGTTTTTCTGAAGTCTGCCTGTTCATCATTTTTTATAGCACAATAGTATTCCATTACATTCACATACCACAACTTACTCAGCCATTCCCCAACTGATGGGCAACAGTACATTACTCTTAATGAACATCGAAGTAGATTTTTTTTGGCTATTCTGTCATAGTATATTGACATCTTCAGGTGTTTTGCTGTCAATGTAATGAATGACCCATGCTATATAACCTATGTTTTACCAGTATAACATGAAAGCTGATAGATCAACATTCTATCTATAGAGAAGGGAACAGCTAACTATGGGCCTGCCATACTTAGTTGTGTGGTCTGTGAGCTAAGAAGGATTTTCACATTTTTAAATAAGGTTTACATTTAAATATTTTACATTTAAAAAAATGTAAAAATGTAAACACCCTTCTTGGCTCGGAGTGATACAAAAACACTCTTCAGGGACTGGACTTAGCTCTTAAGCCATAGTTTGCTGACCCTGCTCTAGAATGTGATGATTTAAAAATGAGTTGGAACCCTTTGAAGGACATTTAAATGTGGAAAGAAAGTGAATCAAACCAATAAAACATGAACTGCACAATGGAACAAAACACTAATTTAATAGGCCAACTGAAATTCTCATCTTCTCTCAGATGAGCCAGTCTGAGCCTTTATATTTTCTGAACTGGAATATCAAAGTATTTTCTGATCTGAACCTCAAATGAACTGATAAAAATATCAGTCAGCAAGTATTTGCTGAATGCTTGCTTGCTATTGTGCTTAATTCAAATCCAGGGCTTCAGTCCTAGCTGCCATGTGCTGACAGCTGCACCCCTCAAGGGATCACACCCAAAAAACATTTATGGAGCTGACGCTGGGTTTGCAGAATCTCTAGAATATTAGGGCTAGCGCTTTGAAGAAAAGTGAAGTCATTTATACATCACCGTCTCCCAGGCAGTCAATCCACTTCTACCTGAGTGCTCAGATCACCAACACTGAAAGTACTACCATTTATTCTAGAACTTCATAGGAAACTCATTGAGGCAGTGCCTAAGAATCTATCCCTGATTCCTTGTAATGGCTTTTAAATTTCATGCAATGTTTTGTTTTCTTCATTATAATATTCTTATTTGCTCCTTTTCCACCAGAGTGGTAGACTTTTTTTTTTTAAATATATGGCATCTGATTTTGAAATTTGCTTGCACAACTTTTATCTATAGAAAATTGTAGAATATCAGAATTGGAAAAAGACCTTACAATATGTTATCCAGCTACTTCACTGTACAGATAGAAAATGGGTCTAGAGAGACATGAAGAGAAGGAGAGAAAAAGAGAAAGAAAAAGAAGAAAGAGAGAGAGGAGAGAGACTGAAACAGAGGGATGGGGGGAGAGAGAGGGAGATAGAAACAGAGACAAGACAGAGAGAGAGGAGAGGTTATTAAGCATTCATTATATTTGAAGCAGTGTGGTAAGGGTTGGGGATACAAATTGTTGTTGTTTAGTTGTTCGGTCTTGTCTGATTCTTCATGACCCCACTGGGGTTTTCTTGGCAAAGATACCAGAGCAGTTTGCCATTTTCTTCTCTAGCAGATTAAGGCAAACAGAGGTCAAGTGATTTGCCCAGGGTCACACAGCTAGTGTGAGGCTGGATTTGAACTCAGGTCTTCCTGACTTTCAGTCCAGCACTCTTATCTACTGAGCCACTTAACTACCTCCGATGATACAAATACAAGGAAGTATTCTCTGGTTCCAAACTCTCAGGGAACTTAAATTCTAATAGGTGAAGGTAAAACAAAAGGGGGAGTGGGAAGGGGGTGGGAAGAGGCCCTGTGCCTGGTGAAGCTGCTGGCTAGGGCTTCTCAAGAAGTGGCGAGTGAGGAGCTCAGGACTCGGGGAAGAAGTCAACCGAGGAAGAGGTAAGTGAAGATGCTGAGGAGATGAGGCGGGCCAAAGTTGAGCTGGGAGTGTTGCATATGGATTGCCTATAATACCTTGTAATTCAAGTCGGTTAAGTGAGACTGAGATTGTAGCAATAAACCACAAACCTTCCCATACCTGGTGCTTGAGATAACAGCTACAAAGAATGACACCTTTCCTACTTGGAAGGAATGGAGGTTAACAATTACATGTATAAGTAGATACAACATAAATACAAAGTATCAAAATAAGAGGGTTTTTTTTTTTTTTTCTGGTGGGAGCGAATTAGCATTTCGGGGGATCATGAAATGAAAGGCTTCAGGAAGAGAGTGCCTGCATCTATGAGGCAGAAGGACAGGAGTTCATTCTAGGCATGTAGCACGGCCGGAGCAAACACATAGAAGTAGCAATGTCGTATGTGAGGAGCAGAAGACTAGTTTGGCTGAATCACAATGGGGGAGGGGGAGGAAGTAAAACGGGCAGTGGTACCTATATGTAGGTTGAAGCCTGGTTGTGCAGGGCTTTAAAAGCTAAACAGTTACGTTTGATCCTAGAGGCAATGGGAAACCACTAGAGCTGAATAAGAGACTCACATGATCAGATCTGTGCTTAAGGAAAATTACTTTGGTAGTTGTGTGTAGCATGGACTTAGTGAGAAATTTGAGACAGTGAGACTGATAACAATAGCTAGCATTTATATAGCATTTTGTTTGCAGAGCCATTTTGTAGGTAGTATGTGTAAAGGTTATTTCATCTGATCCTCACAAACAACCCCTTGAAGTGCATGCTATAATTATCCCCATTTTACAGATGGGGGAGGTGGACAGAGGTTAAATCACTTGTCCAGGGTCACAGAGCTACTAAGTGACTGAGGCTGGATTTGAACTCTAGCCAATTATCAATCCATAAAAAAGTCTTCAAGACTCTAGGCCCAGCACTCTATCTACCATACCACCTAGCTGCCTTGGTAAAGGAGGGTAAGGACGGAGAGAAGACTGTCAGATTTGGCAATTAGGTAACTTTGTAGATAGTATTTTCAGTTGAGTGATGAGATCAGAAGCAGTCTGTAAAGCACTGAGGAGAGAAAGTCAAACAAGGATTTCTTGAGTGCCTCCTATGTGCCAGGCACTGTGCTAAGCACTGGGAATACATTGAAAGGCACAAGTTGGTCCCTGCCCTCAGGAGCTCCCAATCTAACAGGGGAGACAGCAAATAAATAAATCGTGTACAAGCAAACGATATATAGGATAACTAGGAAATAGTTAACGGAGAGAAGGCAGTAGAATTAAGAGGGGTTGGGAAAGGCTTTCTCTAGAACAGGGCTTCTTAAGCTTTTTCTATATGAGACCTTATTTTGGTTTTGGCGGCATGGTTCACTGAGGGTGTGCAGCACAAAGTGTGCATGCATGCATCGTGTTCAGAACCAAGGCTTCAGTGAAATTACACAATGCAACATGGGCACGCACTGCCAGAAACACCTTAGATTCATTGATTTTGAATTAATTTTTGGTTATTGTACATTCAGAAACCTTTTACTGTTGCCAAAATTTTCACAACCCAGATGGGGTTGTGACCCACAGTTTAAGAAGCACTGTTCTAGAAGAAGAGATTTTAGCTGAGACTTGAAACTAGGGAAGCCAGTAAGTAGGCAGAGCGATGGGTACCAGGCACGAGGGGATAGCCAGAAAAAACACCCAGAGCTAAGAGATGGAGTGTCTTGTTCATGTAACATCAAGGAGCCCAGTGGCATTGGATTGAAGAATATGTGATGGGGAGTAAGGTATAAGAAGACTGGAAATGTAGGAGAGAGCTGGGTTTTGACAGACTATGGATTCAGAACAGAGGATTTTGTATTTGATCCTGAAGGTAATAGGGAATCGCTGGAGTTTATTGAGTAGGGGGTGTGACATGCTAAGACCTGTGTTTTAGTAAAATCACTTTAGTGGCTGAATGGAGGATGGATAGGAGTGGGGAGAAACTTGAGGCAAAAGAATCAATTATAGACAAATTTCCCAAGGAGTTTGGCTTAGAAAGGGAGGAGAAATATAGGATGATAGTTGGAGGAGATGGTAGGGTCTAAATGAAAGTTTTTATGGTTGGAGGAGCCTTGGGAGTATTTGAAGGAAGTAGGGAAATAAACCAATAAATAAGAGAAGTTGAAGATTATAGGAAGAGAAGGGATGCAATTTGCTGGAGAAAATGGGATCAAATATACATCCAGTTCTGCTATAATGTGATAGACATTTTTTAAAAATCACTATGATATGCAAAATCATGCGATAAAAACCACAGGACTTATGGGGGAAAGGGGATTAGGAATAAAACATTCAAAAACATCAGTGAAACATTTAAAAAAACCTATTAAAAATAGAAAAGTTTAAATACTACAATAAATAGTATCTGTGACCTTGGGCTGCTGTTCAGCCTGCACCTTGGTTCCCATTGGACACAGGCTGGCAAAGTTAATGGCTATGGGCAAGAGAATGACTTGGAAGGATGCAATTTCAGATGTGAAGGGAATGGGGATAGAGTTCAGACAGCCTTCCTCTGCCTTCTACAGCCCCTTCTGCACCAGAAAACATGCAATAAATATGACCCTTTGCCTTGAAAAAGACCTAAAGTTTGCTGGAGGAAGTGGGCTTCAGAAAGGTCTCTGCATGTGCATTATTGTGAAATAGTATAGTTTTCTGCATTCTGTTTCTCATGGATAAAATTACACATAAGTAAAACTGAAACCTCAAATTGTTCCCTAATATATCAATTACATTAGAACAAATTTGCATTTTCAAAACAAGGGTTGTAGCAGAACAGACTCTACACAAAAATGATTGGCCTTAGCAAGAAGAGCTACCTCTTTGTCAGAGTTTTGGGGGAAAACAAGGGAGGATGGAAAATGGTATCAACGTGTTTTGAGATGAAGAGAATATAAGAAGAGGGATCTCACATCAAATCACCTCTGCCATATTCTCAGTAGAGGCATGGTCCTTAACTCAGAAAGAATGAAGGCTGCCTTGCTGAAACAAGGGCCTAGTTTAGATTGGATGATCTAAATTTGTTACATACCCAGAAAGCATTTTTGACTTCCTGGTGACCAGGAACAGAGGAGGCAGATGATGGGAGTAATCCAGGGCTGTGGTTTGGCAAGAGATGAGTAATATGACAAGCAGACCAGGGAAAGAAAGAGAGAGACTAGAACTGATTATCATATGTAACTCAAATTCCAATCAAGCTGGGTTAGAAAAGAGCACTTTTCATTGTATGCTTTCTATAGAATGTGATCTTGGACTGGTAGAAAGAGTACTAACGTGACCCTCCATGATGGCCTCGGGGTAGATCTGGTTTGACGGTTTTGGAGAGGAGAAATAGTCATCCTTTTAGGGAAAACAAGTGTGGTTCCAGACACTCTTTGAGACCAATACCAGATAGGAAAGAGAAAAAAGACTTTGGAAGCAGCAAAGACGTAGGTGAAGTTGACTTTTCAAAATGTCTCTGATTTCCAGGTTGTGTCCCTAGAGACTTCAGGGCATTTCCCCTTGAGTGAGATCAGTCTCTCACTTGATGAAACTAAGATATCGTCATCTCTAAAGAGCTCATTTACTCTTGCTCATTTTCTGGAATATTCTAATCTGTGTAATTTATGCGATTTCCATGTCTTATTTGCTTGGATCAATGGGTTCACTCACTATCTGCTGTTTGTGATGGTCTTTCAAGTGACCAGCATTTGGCTGGGAAGGAGTCAAGTCAACAGGTTTGAGCCTGGGGTACCTTCCCTCTTTTAAGGGAGAGCAAACAAGAAAGCTAGCACCTTAGCAGCTTTTGAGCCTAAAAAAATAGGATCTCAGACTGGTAATATTTAGTGGGGCATATAGATATAATTCTAGTCCAGTATCCCTCAGTCAGTCAATAAGCATTTATTAACTGCCTCTGTCTTAAAGGAGAACAGTGCAGAAGAGGCATATGCAATATTCCAGAACTATCTATAGCTTCCCTCCAGGCTCTTGTCCATACATTTAGTCATCCTATGTCAATAAATGTGATATATTTTAAGATACATAGTTTACTGCGGTAGTCTGACTTTTTTGCTCGTACCCTGCTTTAGGGTATAAGCTCAGTAATGGGGTTTCTGGGTCAAAGGGTACTCCTAGTTCTGTATCTTTTCTTGAATAATTCCAAATAAGTTGGGTCAACTCACTGGTACCTGCAGTACTTTAGGGATCCTGTCTTCCCCTAGTATCCTTTTATTTTTTCATATTGACCATGTGATCGATCTCATTTTGTCTTCATATAGACCTGTGGATCGATCATCTGCATAGACATAATTGAACTGATGTGAAATGAGGTCACCAAGAGATCGTAGGAGAGCAAAAAAGGGGTTGTAAGCTTCTCGCACGCAGGGTCCCCGGATCCTAGTAAGAACTGTGGTTCCATACCCCTCTAATGCACCTAAACCTGTGCTCTACGACCAAAGTCGCCATCTGTGTTGGTGTTTTAATTCCTTCTAAACATGTGAACCCGCACCTCCTCCAGTGCCGCAGCCCAAGGCTGCAGATACATGCCAGGGCTTCATTTTAAGGGTTTGTCGAGTGCTTTACACACAGTAGGCAGGTAATAGATGTTTTATGAGCTTGTTTTAAGATTTGAGAAAGCATGTGTGTGGGGGTGGGGCTGGGGAAAAAACCAAGATGGCAGCAGCGGATCTGACAGTGACAAAAGAAATGTGAGACACGTGTACGGCGTTCAGCCTTCCTTGGTCCTGGATTCCCATGGCCATTGGGCCACCGGGCCTCCGTAGCTCCGCCCCTTCTTCGTCCCGACCTCGGCCCAGGGGGCGGAGCCGGGCACTCAGCGTCCAGCACGCCTGCGCTGCTGCCCGAGCAACTCAGCGACCTCAGAAGCTGAGCCGGCCCGCTTCCGCTTCCGTGTCGGGATCATGGCGGTGGCAAATTCAAGCCCCGTCAACCCCATCGTCTTCTTTGACGTTAGCATCGGTGGCCAGGTGGGACGGGGGTGGACCCAGGCAGTCCAGGATGACTGGGGAAAGGGCTAAAGGGGATAGCTGCCCGCCGCTCCGGGGGCGCGGGGAAAGTATGTAGAACCACGCGAACCGCATGGGGAAGGTAGTGAAGTCTGAAAAACGGGCGGGACCAATGCGTCCGGAAGATGGGGGGAGAGGGCGGAGGAACAGGCGGGACCATGGGCAGGACCAAGAGGCTCGAGGATGGAGGGGAGGGGAGTGGGCGGGCCCAAGGGGCTGGAAGGTGGGGGAGAGCGGGCGGGCCCAAGGGGCTGGAAGGTGGGGGAGAGCGGGCGGGGCAGGGAACAAGGAGAGAGATCAGAGTCCAGGATGGGTCAGATTGACCGGGACCTAGACACTTGAGCCTGGGGAGAATGAATTGGCAAAACCAAACTTGGTGGTGGGGGTGGGGTGGGGGGAATGGGACGGGGTCCCTCCCAGGGCGGGGAACCGGCCGATAGGAGGGGTGACGTCACTGACACGCCCTGGCATTGCCCCGCCCTGCAGGAGGTTGGCCGAATGAAGATTGAACTCTTTGCGGACATCGTGCCCAAGACAGCGGAGAATTTCAGGTCCGGGAAGTACCTCCCACCCCCACCCCCGAGTTCTGTGGGACTAGCAGGGCGTGGGGAGGTGGGGGAGGGAAAGAGTCTTTGCCACTGTAACTGTGTCCTTATCCTTGTCAGTGTCTGGTCTGTTCCAGCGTCTGTCTGGGAGGACGTAGCATTTTTCTCCTCTACAATCTGACTTTTTTGCTCGTACCCTGCTTTAGGGTATAAGCTCAGTAATGGGGTTTCTGGGTCAAAGGGTATTCCTAGTTCTGCATCTTTTCTTGAATAATTCCAAATAAGTTGGGTCAACTCACTGGTACCTGCAGTACTTTAGGGATCCTGTCTTCCCCTAGTATCCTTGTATTTTTTCATATTTACCAATGTGATCGATCTCATTTTGTCTTCATCTGCATTCTTTTGATCATTCGTAATTTGGGGCAGTTTTTCAGATGACATATTGATGGCTTACATATCTGTGAAAACTGGCACATAGTAAGCACTTAATGCTGTCTTTCCATCTACTTATCTTTATCCCATGACCACACATCTGTTGGAGTCATAGATATGTGACTGCATAATCTTAGAGCTTTCTCTTAAGATTATGACCCCAAAGTCTTGGTGACTCTTAATATTAGAGGTTTGCAATAATTCCCATTAGATTTTGGATGTTAGATTCTCATAAGATAGGTTTAATGAAAATATTTTTCCCATTCATAGCTTTTACTTTTTTCTAGTTTAATTTTTGTTCGTGTAAACCCTTTTTAATTTTATAGTTTAAATTGTCTTTTTTTTCTTTAATATTCTGTATATATTGCAGCTGGTTACATATTGATTCTTTAATCCACATTTGTTAAAGATGACCTCCCATGCCCCTCTAATTTCTTTTTTGTGCAACATTTTATATTTAGACTGTTTTTTAGGATCAAGTGCTTGACTTGAAAGAACTTAAGGGACCCCAATGTGTTTCAACCCCCTCTTTTTGCGGATGAAGAACCTCGTTTGCAGGAAGGTTTTGGGCCTCAGGTAGTAAGTATCCGAGGCAGAATTTGAACACAGGTCCTCTGACTTGAGATTCAGTGATCTTTCCTACCATACTTCTATCCCGTTTTCTTAGTGTTTCCTATCAAAGAGTCCAGTATTTTGTGTACTTGGGTTTGTCAAACATGGGATGCTGTACTGATAGGATTCTAGGTTTTGCTTTGCTAAGCTTTTTCGTTGTTCTACTTTTTTATATTTTCTGGCACCACATAGTTTTGATGGTTACTGCTTTGTGTAACATAACTTGAGACCTAGTTATGCCAAACACCCTTCACTCCTGTTTCTTTCCATTTTCCTCCAAGGTGGTGTTTTTTGTTTTATATTGTTTTGTTCTTGAAGAGGGGAGACCCCCCTCTCTGCTTGTCTGTCTGTCTTTTTGTTCCCAGTATCTGGGGGCAGGAAGAGAAGAGCAGAGTCACTGTTGTTGGGTACCTGTCTCTAACGTATGTGATTATTTTGTTACTGTCATTTCTGTATGTGTGATGGCCTTTAAACAGTGTCTGGTTGTATACATACAAACACACACAAGAGCCTTTGAGAGAGACCCTCTGTTGCTAACACCTCCATGTATGTGTATGAGCATGTGTGAACCTTTGTTAATAGATGGCTGGTGTCTCTCCCTTACCCCAACTCCCAGGTCAAAGTTTCTCTTTCCTATGTTCTCTCAGTGTATATGGTTTTGCAGATAATTTTTTTTCTTTCTTTCAGGCAGTTCTGCACAGGAGAATTCAGGTTGGTCTGCAAAATGCTTATTTCCCTCAAGCATGGCTTGGGTGGGAGCCTTCTGCCCAAAGCTGGAGTTAGTTCCCTTGGGAAGCTGCCATCAAGGCCTAGGGGAATTGCTGGGATCAGGGATTCAGGCCTTGCCTCTTTTAGTTGATCACCCTATCTTCCTACTTCCCCAGAAGCAGTTTAGGGAATTAATTTGGAGGGTCTTTTTCTAGCTTGGGGTTGCTTTGTAGATGGGCCTAGGATTGCCTGCAGTCTCTCCATTTCTCATCTTTCTCCTTGGTTGTAGGAAAGATGGAGTCCCTATCGGATACAAAGGAAGCACTTTTCACAGGTGAGGTTTGGGGCTGCCAGTTCCCCCCCTCCCCCTTGGGTATGCCAGGGACACCTCCCCGGCCGTATGCCTTAAATCACTGTCTCCTTTCTGATCCTTTGTTTGTCCTCTTTTTAGGGTTATAAAAGATTTCATGATCCAAGGAGGAGACTTTGTAAATGTAGGTATTATGTAAGTTTGTCTTGTTCCAGCTTTGCAAGAGTTCTGCTTTACCCCCTTTGTGATTTACTGTCAGATTTATCAGAGAGGCATTTGTGAAAAGAGTGATGGGGGGAGGGGTGGCAGAGGAGGGCACTTTCTGTGCTGGTCACAAATCCATTTGTTTAGTGTTATGATGCATGGTAGTTCTCTCAATCGTTTTTCTTTCTCTACAGTAATCCACAGACCCCATCGCATCAAGCCACATTCTTGGCTCTTTATTACCCCCTGGCAGACATCCCTCTCTCCCTACCCTCAGCCCTGCTGTAGAGCAGAATAGAATGGTGTGGGGAAGGCCTTGAAAGGAGGCAAGGTTGAGTGGATGCTTTCCAGAGTCTGGGATGAGAATGGTTGGTTTGGTTGCCTTCTCTGCCCTCACTTCCGGAGAGGAACAGAATATGTAACTACAGGAATAGAAGGACTACTTAGGAAATAATGGTGATGAATTGATTTATCTCTCCTCCTTATCCCAAATGTGAGCATGTGTGACGGGGGAGAGTTGAGGGAGCCAAATCGGTGATGGTTTTATTTGCTGGGTTTTAACCAAATGCACGTGGAGTTGTAAACCCAAATAGCTTTTGCACTGCTCTGGCTTTAATCCATATTCTCTCATATTCATTTGTCATTCATTTGTTCATTCCTTCGACAAAATTTATTTGTGTGACAAGCTAAGATAAGAGACAGTCACTGCCCTGGTAGAGCTCACAGACTACTGGTAGATAAAACACACACAACCAACAGATAATTGTCATACTCATTATGGCTTGACTTGCACTAGAAGACTGGCACACCAAGTGCTAGCCTATGTCGTGTGTGCATTTGAGTTGAGCTTTAAAAGATGGGTAATTCTTGTCTCTGTCAGAGGGGCACACTTCATTGTGGCCTGAGGTCTGTGGTGACCCTTTCTAACGTGTGTGTACGACGCAGTCTCCTTTCCTATTCTGTTTATATCCCTGGTGGAGTCTTTAATCCCTGGAGTTCTCACTGCCTGTAGGGCACAAGCTCCTAACCCAGAGGCTCTATCTTCCCTGCTTCACGTGCCCTTGGATCCATCACATTAGAAGTCTGACTTCGACCCACATGCTTCTTATCTGTGATTCTGTGTGGTTGATGCCTCGGCTGTTGGCTCTCTACTAGGATGGATTGTGTTGGGTAGAAACTTATTGGTCATTGGAGAACCTCTAAGGTGAAAGCAACCAATGGACTTTCAAAAGTCTTATTGATGCCTCTGGTTTTTATCATTCTCCACCCCGCATTGAGCCCTGCCTTGTAACAGAGAAGACCAGTTCTGGTCACTTTATGCAGCCTGACTGTGTATGCAGCATTCTCTACCTGTAATCCCCCACTTCTTTCTGAGAGCAGGGAGGTAATAACTTTAGAAATGCTTCTCTTTAGATGAAATTTGATGTCCTTCTCTTGAGATCTTTTCTCTCTGTGCTTAGGGAGATGGCACTGGAGTTGCAAGCATTTATCGGGGACCATTTGCAGATGAAAACTTTAAATTGAGGCACTCAGCTCCAGGTCTGCTTTCCATGGTATGTATATCCAGTAGAGGTGTTGGGTTGTTAAATGCTAGTCAGTGTCTCAGCCCAGATTTGAACTCCAGTCTTCCTGACTCCAGGCCTATCTGTGCCACTCAGCATCCTCCTGTCCTTGGGGACAAGCTAGCTCACCACACAGGTAGTTCTGTGTCATTTGGACCTGAGCTCAAACTCATCTGAATAAGGTGGCCTTGAAAAAGTTGTGGCCAAGCTCGGTTTTCTCCTTTGCTTTCCCATGTGTGCTTTCTTTGAGTCAGAACATGTCATTGGTTCTCTCCCTTGGAGTCTCCCAATAGGAAAGACTGTCCTGGGGCCCACCCCTGCTCACGCTGTCCCCAGTGTCATATTTATAAGAGCTCCACAGTAGCCAAGCACAGCAAGCAACGTGTCAGCCTTCCCTTTGTGGAATTAGGTGGTAGTTGCCCTGGTAATGCCTCTCTAGAGGTCAGGTGCTAGTGATGCCAACAGGTACAGCCCAAAGATGGCTCTAGACCCTGTTGTTGAGTATCAGCTAAATGGTGGCTACCCAATTTGCACCTCCTATGTGCCCTGCCCTGCGTCTGCAGCTATGGAGAATAGCAGTTCAATCCAGCAGGTTAAATGACTTTCCCAGGGTCACACAGTTAAATGTCTGGGGCAATATTTGAATTCATGTCTTCCAGACACCAAGTCCAGCACTCCATCCATTGCACCAACTAGATGCCTCTGAGGCTAAGGGATAGGAATAAGAGTAGGCATCTTAGAAGAGGTAACATTTGACCAGGGCTTAAAAAATCAGTGGGGAACCTAATCACCAGAGTGGGGAGAAGGACATTTTAGGCCAAGAGGTTAGAGCAGCGGGAAAGTGTGGGACCCATATAGTGGACAGTGACTGATCCAGGTGGGCTGGTATGTTGATTACGTGAGGGGGTGTGCTATGAGCTCTGGCGAGTGGCATCGAAGCCGGGTTAGGCTGCTTGAACTTGGTACCAGAGGTCACAGGAAACTAGTGAGTGGTTTTGGGTGAAGAGGTGAAATGACCAAAATAGGTAAGGCCTAAGTCTGATGGAAGAATAAAGGATAGAGAGGAGACAAAGAGAGAGTCCCAGTGGGAAGCAGTTACCGTAGGAAAGGTGGTGGTGGTGAAGACCTGTATGAGGGTAATGTCAGTGGGAATAGAAAGGAAGGGGCAGAGAAGAGAAGAGAATGGGGAAATAAGATCAATAGGATTTGGTTATTGTTTGACCATGTGGGGTGAGAAGGAGGAAAGGATTGAGGATAATCCTGGGATTGAAGACACATAGACCAAGTGCCAGGGCCACAAAGAGAAATGGTAGTCGGAAGGACAAGCAGGTTGAGAGAGAGAGAGATAACAAACTCCGTTTTGGAGGAGTTGGGGCTGAAGTGCTAGTGGAAACGTCCCTTTAGAAATACCCTTTAGGCAGTGGGGTATGTAAATAGAGCTCAGGAGAAAGTCCAGGCTGGTGATCCAGATTGTCAGTCATCTACTGAAGTCTGAAGAGTGAGTGAGGTTTATCATGGGAGAGAGTGTAGAGAGAGATGGAAAGAGGGCCATGGCTATAATCAAAAAACATTTATTTAGGTGCTTACTGTGTGTGGGCCAGGGGCTGTACTAAGCATTGGTGATAGAAAAGAAGCAAAAAGTAGCCCCTGCCTTCAAAGAGCTTATGTTCTAGTGGCCAAGAAGATGTAGATACATCAGTAAATATAAGACCCAGAGGAGATGGAAGGTAGCCTTAGGGGGGAAGTCATTAGCAGCTGGAGGGAGCAGAGGAGAGCCTGGGAAAAGCCATCTGTAGAAGTTGACTCTTGGCTGCATTGAAGAAAATCAGAGGTTCTAAGAGGTTAGGAGGGGGAGCATTATATTCACTTGGGCAGCCAGTGCAAAGACATAGATGAGAGAGAGTGCATCCTGTGGGAGGAATAGCAAGGAGGTGAGCATTGCTGGACCCTGGAGTGTGTCCTCGGGAGTGGGGTGCAGGGGTGGGAAGGAGGGGATTTGTGCAAAGGCTGGAAAGGGGGGAAGAGGCCAAGTTGGAAAGCTCTTAAGAGCCAAACAGAAGTTGATAGTTGTTCCTAGAAGGCGCCATTGAGGTTTGCTAAGTAGGCGGTTGCGCCTGGTCACACTTGAGCTTTAGAATATCGGTTTGGCAGCTGAATAGAGAAGGGACTGAAGTAGGGAGCCCAACCAGCAGTAGTGAGTCTAGGCATGAGGTGCCTGGGGAGCCTGAACTGTGGTGCTAGCTATTGAGTGGAGAGAAGGGGACAGATTTCAAAGTTGTGGAGACAGAAATTATAAGAATCTCAGGAAACACTGACCTGAAGATGCCAGGAAGAAGAAGAGAAGCCAGAGAAACAGAAGGAGTAGTTAAAAAAAAGACTAGAACCAAGGAGGCCTATAGTATCTTGAAAACCAAGGGAGGAGGAGATACGTAGAATCAGTTAGTGGGGCAGGGGCAGGAGCCACGATGTCAAACAAGGCCCTTGAATGGCCATTGGATTCGGTGACAAAAGGCATTCCTGGTGACCTTTGAGAGAGTATTGCAACAGATTTGTGACACAGGAAGCCAGTCAGCAAGGAGTCGAGGAGAGAGTGGGTGGGGAGGAAATGAAGTTTCTTAGTATAAGCAACTCTACCAAGAAGTTTAGTAGTAACTGGACATAAAGGAAGGATCAAGAGAAACCTTTGGATTCAGGAGTTCTGTCAGTGTTAATAAGCTGATGGGAAGGAATAATTGGAGAGGGAAGGATTGCTAGAGGAAGGTCCTGGTGGAGACAAAAAGCAAGACTGAGGACGTGGGTATTACCCAGAATCGTGAGTAGGAAGAGCTTTTCCTTCAAGACGAGAAAGTGAGTGATAAGGCGGGGAAGTTCTGAGGAGTGTGATAAGGGAGTTGAAGGAGCGTATATCCAATGGCCTCGATGTATTAGTGAAGTAAAAATACAGCCTTCAGCATAAAGACAAAGCAGAATGTGTGGCCTCTGCCGTCAAAGAGCTTACAGTCTAGTTGAGACAGCAGGGCCTTAGTAACCCAATGGAGAGTCCCTTTCTTTGGCCTTAGGTCCACAGGTGCCTAGCCCTCCTTGTAGGACAGAGGCGTCCCTGTTCTTTTGCTTCTCACTGCAACATTCTTTCATTTAAATCAGGCAAACAGTGGCCCCAGTACCAATGGCTGCCAATTCTTCATCACCTGCTCCAAGTGTGACTGGCTGGATGGGAAGCACGTGGTGTTTGGTGAGTTCAGGTTCTGTACCTGACTGCCTGCTGGCTTGGGCTTTGAGGGAAGGGGCTGTTCCTGGAGCTGTCATTTGTCACCTGCTCTATTGATGGGCTGTCTCCACCTCCAGGTCCTGAAGGGGCCTGAAATGCAGAATTTGCTGTGTTCTGGATATGGCCCCTCTGCCATGGAGCCACTGGGCTTCTTCGGAGCCAGCTGCAGAATGGGGGGAGAGACTTGGAGAGAGCACACAAGAAACAATATCATTTAGCTCTGATTCTTTCCGCAGGAAAAATAATTGATGGACTTCTAGTGATGAGAAAAATTGAGGTGAGTGAATTTTGGTTTCCTGCCTTGAGGGTCACCTTGTGTTTTAAAGCTGATACCAGCAGACTGCCTCAGTTTCCTCATCTGTAAAAAGGGAAGTTTACATCTTCCTGGTCGTGGCTTCCAGCCTACATTGTCTTTCTTAATTCCCCCATTTCCCTCTGATACACTTTCAGTGAATGTGAGGGTATACTCTGCGTCCTTGGGACCAGGAGCACAGCGCAGCGGGTGTTGGCTCACTTGGCCTATGCTTCCTTTCCCTAGAATGTTCCCACTGGACCCAACAACAAGCCCAAGCTTCCTGTGGTCATCTCCCAGTGTGGGGAGATGTGATGGAGATCAGTGCCGAATCAGGTAAATAGCACTTTTTTTTCCACCTTAGCTAGGCTGAACCAAGAAGGTTGAATGCGGGAGGTAACTGGAAACTGCCCTGAGCATGAGGATGAATGAGACTGCCTGGAAGAGAGTGTAGGGAGAGAAGGGCGTTTCTGCCTTCAGCGCTGTTGTCTCTTAGGAGAGGGAGGCCAGGGCTTCTTGGGACCCTCCCTTGCCCCTGGTCTTTGGAATGATAACTGCAGTAGTTGACCTTTATGTGACGTTTTCAGATTGAAAAATATGTTAATTTATCTGGGTCTTAGAACAGTTCTGGGAGGCTACAGGAATTCTCCTCATCTGGAAGGTAACAACAACTAGTATTTGTATAGCGCTTTAAGTTTGTAAAACACTTTACAAATAATAATTATTAAACCAACATTTATTTAGTGCTTACCTTGTGCCAGGCACTGTGTACTTGGGACTGAACTTGGGATGGAAGAGTCTTGAGTTCAAGTCCCAGTCTGACACTGAAGCTTCCTATTCTGCAATGGTGGGCTTAATTTATCGGATCGACAGTCTATTCGCCTGTAAAATAAGGCAAACAATAGGAATACTTGACTACTTACCTTAAGAAGTATTTGTAAGGAAATCACTTTGTAAACCTAAAAGTGCTACAGAAATGTAAGTTTTTATTATGGGTAAAAAACAAATGACAATTAAGCAAGCCCATTTCAAGGATTTATTTGAAAACCCAGACACTGGCATATAGGATCGCAGGTAGAGCTGGAAGCAGTGGTGTGTTGGTACATGTTTAACAACCAGCTCTCCAGAAAAATGAATCTATGGCATACTTTTAGGTTTAATCTGCATTACTAACATTTCCTTTATCACTTTCAAGTCTCAACCATCAACAAAGCAGTAAATCAAGCCCTGATTTGTAGCATCGACTGATGACTGCAGGTAGCAAGGTGGTACAGTGGATAAAGTACCAGGCCTCAAGTCAGGAAGACCCCTCTTCCTGAGTTCAGATCTAACCTCACACAATTACTACTGTGTGACCCTGGGCAAGTCACTTAACGCTGTTTGCCTCAGTTGCCTTATCTGTAAAATGATCTGGAGAAGAAAATGGCAAACCACTCCTGGTCCACTTTGCCAAGAAGACCCCAAATGGGGTCACAAAGTCAGACACGAGTGAAAAATGACTGAACTAAACTGATTACCAAAGTGTAAATGCTCACCCTGAAAATTTAAAAATTGGCTAGCTCTCTTGCACAAGTCTGAGCTGGCTCCCACACACCCCACTGTCTGGAAAGAGGCCTTAGAGGTGATTGAATTCTTCCCCCTCATCTTACTGATGAAGCTCAGGGTCCCATGAAGTGATTTGCCCAAGGTCACATAGGGAGTGACAGAGGCAGCAAATGTTATCTCATTTGCTCCTCACAACAGCTCTTCAAGGCAGGTGCTATTGTTATTCCCGTTTTACAGATGAGGAAACTGAGGAAGGCCCCAATGACTCGATTTGCCCAGGGTGACACAGCGAGTAAGTGAGGCTGAATTTGAACTCAGGTTTTCCTGACTCCGGGCCCAGTGCTTTGTCCATGGTGCCCCAGCTGCCCAGATGAGGCATTTGAGACCAAGAAGTTGAGCCTTGAGGAGGTTCACACTGCTTAGTAAGTGTCAGAAATAGGATGCAAATCCAGGTTTTCCTGATTCCAAGTTTATCGCTTTTTTTTTTTAATATTGTAGTTTTCCCTAGTACCCCTCCACCTCTGAGAGAGCTATCCCATATAACAAACAGTATTTTCTTAAAGACAAAAAGAAGAAAAAGAAGGTCCAATCAATAAAAAAATCAACAAAGCCAGTCAATGCATTGAAAAGCTGGATTCATGGGCAGCTGAGTCAGCCCAAGCCACAGTCAGGGCGTGACTTGGTGTTCTCCCTGTGTACATGCACCTTGGGTTTTTTCTTTCTCTCTGCAGTCCGTGTCTTTGGCTAAAATATAGAAAACCAACAGCAACAAAAGATGTATGTGTTTTTCTTATTCCACTGGTTTTGTTTCATGTTGTTTCATCTACGTCTTCCATATTTCCTTGTCATCTTCATTGTTCCCATTTTTAATGCTTTAATCACAGTCTAATAGGTGACTAGATCTCCATTTATGGAGACATTCCCCAGTCGGTGGAATGCTACAAGTAGAGGTTGCTCCTAATTTTGGCTGTTTTACAGACCTGGAATTCCTTTATCTGATCCTTTTTTGTTCCACTTCCCCCTGGCATCCCCTCAACCTCTTCTTTGTTCTTACCTGACTTCTAGTCCCCCAGCCTTCTGTTCTCTCACAGGCCATCACCCCTGCATTGGCTCCAGTCTCTTCTTAGCTCAGCTCTACACTGTCTTCTACTCCTTTCGTCAGCTCGGCCTTGCCAGGCCCCAGCCTTGGATTATTCCCACACTCCATTGTCTCTGCTCCTATGCACGTGCTACTGAATGGAGCTGGAGAAGATCGTGAAACTCAGCTGAGTCCACTGTGAATTTGTTACTTCATCTCCACTGAGCCCTCACTGCAGCAAGGCTTATTCCTCTTACACCTCTCTAATCAGTCCACTATCCCACTCATCACTGAGGTCATTCCAGACTGTTTCCTCTCTTCTTCAGCCCTCCATGGTACCTGCCTTTCTCAACCCTTTTAGCTGAGAACCTCACCTCATAATTCACAAAAATTGAAGCCATTTACCAAGAGCCCCTTCTCTCTTGCATGTCATCTCACACAGAGGTCTCCCACCTTTTCCTCTTTCACAATTTGTCCATGACGAGGCCCTTCTCCTTGCCAAGGAAAACCTCTCTACATGCATCCTTGATCTGATTCTATCCTCTCTTTTCTGACAGATGGTCCACTCTAGCTCCCCCAGTCTTTCACCAATCTTCCATATCTGTTGCCTGCAAACACACCCATGTCTCCCTCATCCTTAACACTCCATAGCCTTCCATCCTCACTAGCTATCTCCTTATGTCTCTTCTCCCTTTTATGGCTAAAGTTCTTGAAAAGGCTAACTACAACTGGTACCTGTACTTCCTTCTCACTCTCTTCTGCAGTCTGGCTTCCACCCTCATCATTCTACCGAAACTTCTAATAGCCTTTTCTCAATCCCCATCCTTTTTTTAACTTCTCTGCAGCCTTTGATACTGTCTGTCACCTTCTCCTTGACATTCTTCATTTTAGATTTTCCTGACAGTGCTTTCTCCTGGTTCTTCTCCTACCTGTCTGACCATTTCTCATACTCTTTTGTTGAATCTTCATCCAGGTCTTGCCGGGTAACCATAGTTGTTCCCCAAGGATCTGAACTACAATCTCTTCTCTTCTTCCTCTAATCTATCTTGTTTGATAATACCAGCTCCCTTGGATTCAATTGTCATTTCTTTGCAGATGATTCTCAGATCTATTTGTCTGTCCCTGACCTGTCTCCTGATCTTCAGTTTTCCTTCACCATTTGCCTGCTGGAACTCTGATATTTATGGCCTGACCTATAGACATCTCATAATCAGAATGTCCAAAACAGAAAGAATTATCTCTCCCCGCAAATCCTTCCCTCTTCAGAACTTCCCCTTACTGTGTGGGCCAGGTACAGGTCACGGGCCCATCAGAACCAAGCAGCAAACCAGATTGACTCCTGGGCCATAGTTTGTTGACCCCTGATCTAGGCAGCAACCGTTCCCCTAGTTACCTTGGCTCACAACTTCAGCATCATCCTCAACTCCTCATTTGCTCTTAACCAATGTGTTGAATCTATTACCGAGCCCTGCTGTTTCTATCCCCCCATGTCTGCTTCTGTCCACTCACAGCTGACAGCGCTGTGCAAAGCTGTCTGCCTCACGCCTGCTCTATGCAGTATTGTCTTGTGGTTGACCTCTCTGCACTGTAATCCATCCTCCATGAAAGAGCTTTCTAAAGTGTAGGTCTGACCATTTCACCTCATTACTTACTGTTACTTCTAGGATCAAATATAGAAGCCTCTTTTTGGTTTCTAAAAACCTTCAAAACCTGGCCTTTTCCTACTTTCTTAGTCTTTTTACACTTTACTCTTCTCCATATACTCCAGAATCCTGCAACACCAGCCTCCTTGCTGTTCCTTGAATGAGACATTTCATGCCGTGCTGCTAGTTGTCGCTCAGGCCTAGGATGCTGTACAACCCTCACCTCACCTCTTAGTTTTACCTGGCTTCAGGACTAGGCTCAGGTTCCATTCTATGTAAGAGAACTATCCTGGTTATTCCCCACCCCCCCAACTTGGGTTCCCTCTGAGATTACCTCCCATTTACATCATATGTGTACATAGTTGTGTATATGTGAGCAGTGAGAATGTGACCTCCTTGGGGGCAGGGACCATGTTTTTGCCTCTTTTTGCATCCCCAGTACTTAATACAGTGCCTCCATACAATAAGCACTTAACAAATGCTTATTGACTGATCCACATTTTATTGTAGTGTATGTTTTTAGGTAGGACTTTGAGCCCCATTTTTATCTTGTAAGTAACAGGTTTTCAGACAGTTCATTGGATGATAATTACGTCCCTAGGTTTTTGCCATTGATTTGTTTATTAAACATTCGTAAATAGAATCATTGACATTCAGCCATACATTCAGCTCTGTTTTAAAGTTCTTTTGTCTGTTCATTTGGTAGGTTTTTATATCCTCTGCTAGTTTTTATAATTACTGTTTTACAATACATACTGAAAGTTGATGGTTAGTTCTTTTCCTAGTCCTGCCCTTCTGTTTTTTCACATGAATTTTGTTATGGCTTTATCTAATTTATGTAGTAGCCTGTGCTATTTTTACTGGTTTTGTATGAAGTTTCTAAGTTAATTTTCAACTTACTGCCGTTTTCATTATATTGCTCTAACCCTGCATAGGGAATATTATGGGCCCTCCTCCTCCAGATATAAGTATACTTGGAATTTGCTTAGGTACATATAATTTCCTTTGAAAGAATGTAAGCCCCTGAGGGCAGGGACTATTTTAATTTTTGTCATTGTATTTCCCAGAAC